CCGTTTGTTGGTTGGTTTACGCTACACAGAGGAAAAAGAGTGGCTGGAGGCTGCAACACAACCGTGTGCAATGAACCCCTTTAAAGTAGACATTATGGCTTTAATGCTTCAGCGACTGGGTCCAGGAACACAGGAACAGGTGGTAAGCTGCTATCTTCTGACTGATTGCAACATTTAAGCTAAACTGTCAGCAATCGGTGGCAGACTGTTTGGAGACAGGTTGCCTCTCAGCAGGCAACCTTGTGCATTCGTGTTGCCAGGAAGTTGCACGTCAACCTCTGGGTGAGCAGTTTGTCACCATCACCACTACGATCAGGTTCCACCAGCAGAAACAAATTCAGTGTAATCAGTGGGCTGTCAGTTTGTTTTTTGCTTTCACATCTATCTCCAAAGATGTAATTAAGACATTTCCAGGAGCAGCAGCTCAGAGGAGGTGTTAGCAGCGAGCTGCGGATAGCCGTGTGTATCAGCGAGTCCTGAATAAAACATGGGGAACTGGGACCACTTTATGAAACGTCTGCCACATTAGGACGGAGGAGCCCTAAGAGCTGTGGCCCCTGGCTTCTCCCCCGCTGTATAAGAAATGCATAAATATTTCACATTCGAGCTGCTTTAATCCATTCGCCAAATGTCAATACTCAGCACTTAAAAAAGTGGCCAGGCCTGCAGTCCCACCGGGTTAAACAGAGCAGCTCCCACGTCTGTATGCAGGTCGTATAATGCATTACTAAATACTTTTATCAACAGTGGGAGGGTCTTTCTCCCTAAGTGCTGCCCTGGCAAAGAGTGAGCCGGAATAGGTCCTGCAGCCGGATCGCGCCGTGCGCTCAGCAGCAATCGCTTCTATTCCCGGCAAGAAAAGTAATGGGGAGAGTACAATCTCTAATTTCTGAGGTCGTGACATTTCTGTGCAGCGGGCAGTGATCCTGCACGTCAGCTAAACATGTTGGAGAAACTGCGAAAGGCCCGTCGCAGCAGAAAACTCCTCTTTAATGAAAGATTCAACCCGGGACGAGAAACATTAGTCGTGCCATTAACTGTGTAGAGCTACAGGTGACTGAATTTATCAATACAGCAGTTACACTCGTCCACAAAAGATTCTTTATTCCAGAATTCAAAGGAAGAATTTCCTTTATTTACCAAAGACGTCGAATATTAAAAACAAGTATCTCACAAAGGTTTGGTGAACCTCTGAGTTTATATGCACGTATGATTAGTGACAACAATATCAAACTATTATGAAACTGACCTAAATAACAATCGTGTCCCCGCACATGGTTTCTCTTTCCAGTATAAATCCACCTCCCAGTTATTTCTGCACTGGCAGCACTTGGTAGGGTGGTTCAGACCAAGGTTACTGTGGTTAACAAATGATTTGGGGAATTTGGAAAACTAAAATAAAACAGAAATGCAGAGGAAATATTGTTAATTTAGTAGCAGTCTTAGCTCATGAGACAGATGGTTTTATTGAGACTGTGAGTCACTAAAAGTTTGATTCAGTTCCCTAAATTTACCTGGTGGAAATTACAAATAAAATCAGCATCAAAATGCAGATTTTAGTGATGTTTTCATTTATTAATATACCAAAACTACGCAAACCTGCCCTGTGTGAGAAAGTCAGGGCTCTGAAAACACTGAAAAACTTATTTTTATTTGCTCTGGGCATTTTTGTCTGATATGATAAGTGCGACAACTATGCAAAAAAGAAAGTAGGAAGGGGTCAAATACTTTGTACAGCATTTATACTGTATATGTACTGTGTATGTATATGTACTGTGTATGTATATGTACTGTGTATGTACAGTGATCCAGTGGTGATGGTGAAGCTTCAGACTGTTATAAACACTCAGGTTCAATCACTCTGTACTGGGCGTCTCTACGATTATCACCGTGTGCCAAAACTAAACTGAACTGAACACAAACACCAGCTGTGGAGAAAAAATAGATTTGAAAGAATAAAACTGTGAAATTCTACTGTGAGCTTAAACAAATCAAAGTGAAGCAAACAAACAATATCCTGTTTTAGTCTTTCTCCATACTTTAAATCTGAAAACTGAAAACGTCTCTGGAGGCTCTGCTTCAGATGGTTACTGAGACAACCAATCAAGCTGGCTTCAAAGGGGGCGGGGCTGAAACAATAAACCCACAGATCAAGAAGGATTACTTTAAACAGCGATTGGTGCAAGTGTGTAAGTGAGCAGGCCTTCACACTTTAACAGCAGTGAAATTAGTGACGCCTTAAACACGTGACTGCATAAAGAGTGGACAGTGAATCTCCATCACTTCCTCTTTCAATAAAAACTAAAACAATCACGGCATTTAAACTGTCACATGATGAAAAGCGGCACCACTCTGATCTCCATTTGATGTAACTGTGTTTGTGCAGGAAGGGGAAATGAAAGAAGCCCCTGCGGGCTTTTAGAGTTAAGTAATAAGAGGGAAATGAGTGTGCGAGCACTGCCGAGGTAAACAGGAGAAATTAAATCAGCGTACGGCGGCGTCTCCCGAGAGCGCGCTCTCCAGCCGAAAGAGAAAACATCCACTATTAAACCGTCCGTTTAACATTCCTACCACGCTTGCTTCATTAGCAGAGAGCTCGGTTCTGTCGTTACCTAAATACTATACGCGACGCTGTTGTTTCCGTGTCTGTGAAGAGGCATTTACATAATCCTGTAAGGTTAGATACAGCACAGCAGCTCGCTGTCTGGGCGATGGACGCCCGCGAGCGCTTTAATGAGCGGAGACGAGCGAGGAATGATCGCAGTTTGAAGTGAGCCTCGTAAGGCAGACGGTCCAAATATAAGTGTCCAATACAGCCTAATTACACGTTGAATGAACGTGCTTGATCGGCACATTCATTCGTTCCAACGTTGTCAGCTCAGCCGAGCGAGCTGCTGCACACAGACGGATGCAGGCAGAGAAGCTCCACCCTGATGGCTGCACGGGAACACTTCCCTGCTTCATCTGTCAGTAACATTCAGGATTATTAAAGTCATGATTTGAATTTTCAGATTAGTTTTCATTCATGTTTGACAACATAAACAGTCACTCTGCACCAGTGCCTTCTCCTGCTGAACTGAAGTGGGAGCTTTGAGTTTAAGTTAACTTTTGTTTTCATACAAAGTAACTTCGATACGATTATGTCAGCGTTTGGCCCCGACGCCTCTACCTCTACTACGCTCCCAGTGCAGGCCCTGTGTGGGCTGTGAAGGTACTGCAAGTGGTCGTTTATGACTTTAAAAAATAATTACCGTAAAATATGTACCTATTTATTTGACCTGCTTTACATCTGGTCTTTTGGTTGCCTCCCACTAGGCTTTGCAATTTTGGAAAACATTCAATCCTCAAGACACTATATAGTGAAATGTGGTGAGAAAATCCCAACAATCAATCCAAGCCAGCGACCCCCAGTGAACAAGCACTTTGGCGACAGTGGAACAGAAAAACTCTCTTTTAACAGGATGAAACCTCGGGCAGCACCAGGCTCAGGGAGGGGCGGGGCCATCTGACAGGATGTAGATGGAAACTTTTTGACCACGTCTCTGTTTTTGCAGCTTTTTGGATTTGGGAATTTAAACAAACAATAATAAAAAACAAACAAACAATAGTTTTAATAAAAACGGGTGTATGTTAACATCAGCCCCAGACATGCAGATGTAACAGAATTTAGTGTTTAGTTTAGAAACTTGATTTTTAGGAGACATCAAAGCCATCGTGCAGAACAGTACTTAAGGTTTCTAAAAGAGCACACGATAAAGAAACGAGGAACGAGAATAAGTGACAGAGCAACGTTCAGTTCTGCAAACCTGAACGCACAGAGCGCCACAAACAAGCTAATATATGCATGAAGTGCCATAGCTCGTCCTCATCAGCAGCCGGCTGCTCGAGCTCACGCTGACAGCTTCATCTACTGTTGTACACTCGACTGTGGCTTCTGCACTCAAGGTCACAAATTAATCAAAGCATCAATACGTGCAGTCAACATAGGCAAAGCTCGCTGCAGACCTGTCACCTGTACCGACAACGTTGATTCAGCGTCTCATGAATTAGGCAGAAAGCGGCGCAGGCAAGCTTGCACGACAGATAGTTGTGGTGGGTCTACAACACCTCGAGGTTGTGCGCATCAGCTGCGGCTGCTGTGTTTTTGTGTGTGGGTGATTTGATAAGTGTGCGCAGCTGCATTGTTCACAGCAGAGGAGCGGTTCAGGGGGCGGCGAGAATCTGTTAATTACAACACAGGGGAAAGAAGCGAGGACTTGTTTTGCCTCTTGAATTAACATTTTTAAGCATCATCTCAGAGCTCCATGTTTGACAGAAAATTAAAAACTTCATCCTGTCTGCCTTTCACCCTTCAGCTGTGGAAATGTGCTCATTCAAACTTATCCAAAAATATACATAATAACAGCGGTCGGGTCACCTCACTGAAAGTTGGGGTTTGTCTAATAGCCACCCACGTTACTGCATCTTAACAGAGAAACTGTGATGTAACTCTGAAGTAGTAATCCCAGGCAATGTTTCTCAACATTCCCCAACAGCAGCGTCTTATATCGGTCTCTCTTTCTCTCCCGTCTCCCCAGATGGAAACTGCCACCAGTGACAGCGACGGAGGATAATAATGATGGAAGGCAGAGTGATTCGTCCCCAGCCAGAGCCTCAGCACTCCTCCACCGCCCTTCTGCTTCTCAGCGCCGCTCCCTGAAGGACGCGTCGACCTTGACACATCACAGCGTGCGAGACAACCTGACACACACTGAGCTGAAAGGTTGCCTCTCATTGCCAAGAGTGGGAAGACAACGGGGCCAAAGCTTCGGGGACCAGGCGTCAGCAGAAATCCGCTCTGTCTTGCTGGAGTAACAAATGAGCTTTTATTTGTGAAGTTAACACCGCTAACAGCTGACTCCATAAGGGCCAATTACTGGCTGAAGGGAATACGGGGCCAAGATGAAGGAGGCAGCAGTTGTGGCTTGTTTGCTGGCTGAGCTGTGTCTCGCTGCTTTTGTTCTGGCCTCCGAGGGGCCGCTCGTTGCCCCGCGTTGTGTCGATGCGAGATACGACCCTGGTTCTCTCCCAGCTCTATTTACGCCGAGGCTACCACCGTGGACTGTAATGACTTGGGCCTGTCGGCGCTACCGCAGGGACTCCCCTCAGAAACACAGGTGCTGCTACTGCAGACGAACAACATTGTTAATGTGGAGAAAAGTTTGGATTACTTGGCCAACATCACTGAAATTGACTTGTCCCAGAATAACATTTCCTCGGTGAGCGATGTTCATCTGGGGTCTCTCCCCCAGCTGCTGTCACTCCACATGGAGGAGAACTGGGTTCAGGAGCTTTCTGACAGCTGCCTCGCTTCCCTCCCAAACCTCCAGGAGTTCTACATCAACCACAACCTGATTTTCTCCATTAGCTCCCGGGCTTTTCAGGGCCTGGGCAGGCTGCTGAGGCTCCATCTCAATTCCAATCGACTGACAAGCATCGACAGCGAGTGGTTCAGGCCTCTCCCCAATCTGGAGATATTGATGCTGGGAGAAAATCCCATCCTTCACCTGTCAGACATGAACTTTAAGCCCTTGGCAAACCTCCGAAGCCTTGTGCTCGCCAGGATGAATTTGACTGAAATTCCTGATGACACTCTGGTCGGGCTCGACAATTTGGAGAGCATCTCATTTTTTGACAACCTGCTTAATCGAGTACCCCGAGCAGCTCTGACAAGAGTTCAGAACCTGAAGTTTCTGGATTTGAATAAGAATCCGATTGAGAGAATCCAGAGAGGTGATTTTATGGACATGCTGCACCTCAAAGAGCTCGGCATCAACAGCATGCCTCAGCTGGTCTCCATCGACAGTTTCGCCTTGAACAACCTGCCAGAACTGACAAAAATCGAGGCCACAAACAATCCCAGGCTGTCCTACATCCACCCTCGGGCCTTCCACAAGCTCCCCAGACTGGAGACTCTGATGCTCAACAGCAACTCCCTGAGCGGCCTTCATCGCAGTACCGTGGAGTCACTGCCCAACCTGCGAGAGGTGAGCCTGCACAGCAACCCGATCCGCTGTGACTGTGTCATCCGCTGGGTCAACACGAACAGAACCACCGTTCGCTTCATGGAGCCCGACTCGCTGTTCTGCGTGGAACCTCCAGAGTACCAAGGGCAGCACGTCCGAAAGGTGCACTTCAGGGAGATGACGGAGATCTGCCTTCCCCTGATCTCACCCGGGAGCCTCCCAGATCGAGTTGAGATCAGCAAAGAGAGCTCAGTGTCACTGCATTGTCGGGCGTTTGGAGAACCAGAGCCCGAGATCTACTGGGTGACACCGTCGGGTGTCAGGGTCATACCTGGCAGCATTTCCAATAAGTACTACATGCACCCAGAGGGAACCTTCGACATCTACGATGCCACGGAGCAGGAGGCTGGCTCTTACACCTGCGTCGCCCACAATCTCGTCGGGGCAGACCTAAAGTCTGTGCTCGTTTCAGTGAACGGATACACTGCCCTGCCTTCGAAACAACTTTTACATGTATATATCATGTCTGTCCAGTCCTATTCTGTCATTGTGTCGTGGGAAAGCACAGGCTCTTTGCTTTCACAACTAAACTGGTCCATTTTAGCAGAGGGCCGCCGCCTCTCGATGCCATTTACAGCCAGGCTTCCTGCTGATGTCAAAGAGTATCACATCAAGCAGCTGCAGCCGTCCACTCGCTACCAGGTTTGTGTTGAGGTGGTGTCAGCGCAGCCTGGATACAGCAGGGACTGCGTCAATGTGACCACAAAGGAGACGGCAGTCCCGAGGGAGACGACCCACAAATGGGACGTTGTGGCGATGGCTGCTTGTGCTGCGTGTTTTATCGTGGTCGCTGTGGCTTGCTCTGTCGTCTACACGTCCCTGCACAGCCAGGTGTTTTACAGGAAATTAATGGCCGACCAAGCCGAAGCGCTGCTGATTGCCAGCACTCGTTCCTCGTCTTCTTCTTTCCTTGAGTTTGGTGCGTCTGGGATCAAGGTGACGGCAACTGTAATAGACTTAACGGATGACTCTGTGTAAGACGCGTCCTTGTATGTAACAGCGCTCTGGGATTAAGCGAGGATGCAGAGTGAGGGACACTGGACAGTTTACGAACCCTCCTTCCACGAGCGGACTTCAGCAGCGGATAAATCATACTCCTGCGTAACTGGCTAAAAACTATTTTCTATCTGAAATCGTGTCATTATAGCTTAATCAGGCAGATATCGCGACTATAATCCACACGGCTACTGGTCATTCATGCAGTGCAGCCAGACTAAAGCACAGCACAGGAACTCTTCTCGTCTTAAATACCTTGTCGAAGCAGCTTTGACGTCTGCAGAAAGCATTTTCTTTGCCGTGTTACATTAAGCAAAGATAGTTTATAATGGCAGAGAGAAACTTGTTAGCCTAGTGTACAATAAACCTGATTATAATGTAAACAATTTTATGAAGAAATACATTTTTCATTAAACCTGTGTAGTGTCATAACTCCAATCTTTCTCTTGAAATTTAGACCAAAAAAAACAAAGCATGTGTGCGCTGGCACGAAATAATTCAAACACCACTTTGTGTGGATGACGTTTGTGTAGTTTGTGTGTGAGGTCTGCAGGAGACAAACACAATTACAGGGATCGCCCTTCAAGGCAGACACTTTAACGCTGTTAGGGAAATGCAATGCAATCTCAACAGCACGACAAGAGAGATGGTTTGTTTGTGCGTAAGCATGTGTGTGTGCACCTTAATGACTGTGTGTGTAAAGTGCGAGGGCATTGGCAAACCCACTGACTTTGAATTGCATTATATTCTCTTTCATTAAAAATCCAATATGGATTCCCAGAACAAACCTCGGCGCGGTGATGAATCGGCGTCATGCACAAACTGATAGGAGGCATTTATCAGCGGGACTCAGTCATAGATCAACCGAGTTTCAGCGCCTTGGACAGGGCTTTTAGAGCGCGCCCATTTGTCACCGCCACAGGAGCTAAAATATGACCCATTAGAGGCAGGTAGTGAGTAGGTCAGCAAGAACGTGGCGCTCATGCCGGCCCGTTCCCGGCACGACCCTGGAGAGATACCGCCGCCGTCGCAGGAACAGCTCAGCAACTATCGGGCTTGTTTGTAAAGTGCTCAACGCTGACTGCAGAGGAGGGGCGAGATTAGGCACCCTGGATAAAGTAGTTTCAGTCCTAAACAGGACGAAGGGGAGGACGGGCAGTGCCCTTTAAACCAGATCTGGGTTTGCACAACAAGTTTAATTTCATGCACACCTGCACAGTTACTCTTTGCGCTGTTCGATGACACTTTTGGTTGCAATAAGCACCCTTTACTACGGTTTGCCTCTGAGGCATTCTCACAAAGTCCACGCGGTGCACCTGCCTCTGGCTCAGCTCCAGCACTCTTCAGAGTGAGCCAAGTTTCTTTCAGAAGTGATGTTTGGGTTTGTAAGTGTTTCCTCAGCGTGCTCGGAAACATGTCAGCACGAAGCATCTTCTTCAGCCTCGCACTGAAGGCCGTTAACAGACAACAGTTTCTGCAGGTTCTTCTCCAACTCGTGGGTCGTGCTGGTGGTTAGTTATGCTTTTCTCCTCCCACTCACACATTATGTCCCTCTCACTACCAGTTACAGCCTTTCATGTGTCACGCTGTAATAATTCCCACCATCTGGCAACTGTCTGCATACAGAACTGGCTTCCTTTTGAGCAAGGTACTGATACTAAATTAAAAATGGATCCACTACTTCCTGCATGCACAGATGAATTCTGCAGCACACCTGGAACCTGCGCACCATTTGGGAAGCACTGCATTATAGCCGTATGCTTCAGCGCAGCATGGGGAAAGGTATTCTGGGTATTTAAAAGAGCAGCTGCAGGAGAAAGGAAGGATTCTTAAAAAGGAGCTGACAGGTCATTTAGAAGCTTTTCGTTTCCTCCCTCACCTGCTGGGTTCAGCTGTGGTTCACTCCTCACTGAGAGGAGCAATATGTCAACATATAATCCTCACAACCAAACCAAATAAAAAAAGGAAGCGTCTCGGTGTTTTTAAACTCTGTCAGAGATAAAAAAGAAATGCCAATACACGCTAAGAAAACGAAAAAGCTCCAAGTGAGTAATAGCTCACTGCTGAGGGTCTGTGCACAATATGTTGTGGCAGATCCAGAGGGAACATCTTGGAACAAGAATAGCTTCGCACACAGCACCCAGCCCAACTGGCAGGTTAAATTAAATCCTCACGTCCCAGTGACACTGAAACCAGGACTCCACACAAACCAGTAGAATGGCAGAAAACCACACTAGCACTGGGAATGCTTTAGCTGACTCTAACATCAATGGACCCGACTTGAGCAGTTTCGTGGTACTTTTCCGTTGATGGGATTTTTGCAGAAATGTCGGCTAACTGGTCACCTTATTGGTGGAAAAGCTGTACTGAAGCCGTTTCAGCAACGCTACTAAACTGAAACTTGATTCAGACCAGTAGAAAAAATGTCACGTGGCCAGCAGAATCTAAACGTTTGGCCAATGAGGAGCAGCCACATGCTCAGTACATGTCACTGCAATCAAATTATTCATTTATCCTCTTTGGAAAGTTGCTCTGAAGTGCAGTAACATTCAAGGATGTCAGGGCATCACAGAAAATGCTTTTTCCTTTGAAATATTTTACATGCTGGCCGGATTCTGATCCTCGCCTAGAGCTTGTGCTGCATTCAGAATAATAAGGTGCATCGTGTGGAAAGTCTAAATGTGCTCAGTGAACTTCAAAAAATCTCCTCACTAGATTATATTAGTTTTGTGTCGAATGGAAATTTTGCCCTCATGGCAAAGCTCAAGTAATGGAGAGAAATGAGAAACATTCAGAATCATCCTCTGGTGATCGCCGGGTTCTTTATTTTACCCCAGTTTATTCTAAGGAAAAGGCTGGCCGAAGGGATAAGGTACTAGATCTTTATCTATAGTAACAGTATATATCACAATAAACAATATACACCATGAACATGAAGTAAAAATTCAACATTTTAATCTATCCAGGGCGGACGCCCCTCGCCCAGCTGGGATCGGCTCCTGATATGGATGGAAGAGGACGGATGGAGAGATTTTTAAATAAAGACTATTTTTTAAATCGAAGTTTAAAAATCCTGATAATCACCGTGTGAAAGTCTGCGGCAGCACTTTTTAGTTCCTATTGCTCATAATTTAAAAAATGTTTACATCGTGGATCCCTGTAGATATTCGAAAAACACAGTTACGCTGAAGCATTCACCTCAGAGATCCTGCAGTTTGGCGAATGAAACAAAGGCGGCGTTGGCGAGGGCGCGACACGAGTCGATGTCGTAGAGACGATCAGATGTTCAAAGCGAGAGAGAAACGCTGCAAATACAACGAGACCAGGAAAAACAAGCCCGGCCGCCGAGCTTAATGAGCTCTGACTGCACGTTTAGTCCCAGCAGAATCATATCTGCAGCCATTATATACGATTACATTACCAGCGTTTACCCACCCCCCGTTTCATTTTCAGCTAATAATCCATGAAAAACATCTAACGATCTTAGCACAAGTGAGCTAATACCTCATTACAACACTTCCGTTTGTAAAGTGTCCCATTTCTCCGCTCCGTGTTAGCGGGGAAAATAAACTTGGCGAGAAAGCAACACCATTTTTCTCATGAATTATTACCCCATTATAAACATTTGGTATTTAGGCCAGGCCTGCAGCTTTTTGCTTCGGGTACGAATAAAAAAAGCCTTACATTTATCTAGCATCCCTCATGTAGAACCTCCTGGGTTTTAAGTAATTATTCTCCCGCTCATCGGCCCATTAGGCTCGAACAACATCGCTGACTTTGGGTGATCTTGGAGCACGAAGCTTTCTGAGCTTTTATTGCTGTTTCGTGATGGCAGGTTGCAGATGGCGAGAGTGCACTTAACCTCTGCTGATAAACCGCAGCAGATAGCACTCACTTACAAGACAAGGTTATATACAGTAGAGCGGCAGGAACCCATTTGAGTTGATTAATGACTCCACCTCTGACTTGTGTTTTTGTTCTTGGCTCCGTGGGCGTCCTTTTTTAATCTTTTCCAGGAAATACTGACTCAGGACACACAGTTTCACTTTCACACACACAGACTCGGCGCGAGCTGCCGGCGACGGTCGGCCCTGCGGCGATCGTCGGCGAGCTGCTCTAACGCTCTCGGCTCCTGTGTTTGGCTTAATGGCAGAACGACTGGTGACAGTGACCCTTCGTTTGGTTCTCATCTCAGGGCGTAAAACAGTGCAAGTCGGTCAGATATGCACAACACGCACTTTGGTGTTGACAAAGCCGGCACCACTGAAGGTGATGATTAAAAAAATTTATTCTTAATTAAGCAAGGAGCTGCTGCGGCTCGGGTTAACAACATCAAACCTTCACGTTAGTAATTCTTACACCGAGCGTTTAAATGTGATGCCAAAGGGTCCTTTACAAACATCACATACAAGGTTTATATATCAGTAAAACTAATATAAACATGTTTATTATGAGTATTACTCTTGAACTAAAAAAACAAACTTGCATTCATGAAACACTTCATTGGGTACGCCAGCCTGGACCGATGTTCAGCACATCAAAAGGTGCAGTGAACTCGTCGCCATGTTCAAGAATCCTCTCCAGTGTGAGAGGATTCGAGCTTAATGAAGTGTTATTCATCTGGAAGCAGCCAACACAAGATGGTACGCCGTGGCCACAGAGGGACAGACAGCACTCAGGGAGGCTGTGGAGTTTAAACAATGCTCAGTTGGTACTAAGAGGCCTAAAGTAGGGATGCAACGATACCAATCTTTTCAAACCGATACGATACCGATACTTGGATCTGAGTACTTGCCGATAAAGAATACAAAAACCGATACTTCTACCACACACACACACACAAATGCAATGAATTGGAAGACAGGTTTTATTTTATTCTCTGCCGATAAAAAATTTAATCTTAATAAAAATGACCACAAAAAAATTTCAAGTGAAAAACAAGCACTTCTGTTAAATTATTGCAGAGTCTCCACATTGTAATTTAACAAAAGATCACTGAACTATTGGCACTGTCTCGAGCTTTCGGAATAATAAATAAACACTTCTGTTTGTAATAAAATAAATACAAATTAGGTTTGAGAATAAAATAAACTTTTAAATTGTTGCAGAGTGTCCATATTGTAAACAAACAAACAAAATAACGAAAGTATTTGGCGTTGACGAATAAACTCATCTGCCCGTGGATCATCAGTGTGCCGTTAAACCGAGGACTGACATCGCACACACTGCTTGTCTTTACCTCTTCAGAAAGTTTTGGCACCATTATCTCCCTGATGTGTGGGCGCTTGGGAATTTCATATCGCAGCTCGAGTACGAGTACGCTGAGAAGACGATGCAATCCTATGTTTTCCACGACCGGCATTGGCTGGTCATCCAGAGCGATAAAATGAGTCAGAGCCTGTGTTATTTTAACTGCCCGTGGATTT